CACCAGCTCGGCTTGCAGTGGGATCTGTTGCAAATTGACGTCAAAAACGCAGTCTATCTGGCTTGGGCTTGATGATGGTCACTTATTGGTTCCCTGGTAAACTAGCGAAGGAGACCCGAAGGCCTGAACCAAGTAAACAAACAATTTAAGGGGCCGGCGCACGCAGCTTCGCCAGCGCCTCCTCCACCATGCCATCCACATCATACTCCCAAACCCTATGAAAGCGTTGCGTAATCTCGCGACCGAACCTCTCCGGGTTTCTAGCGACTTTCTCGTCGCGCCACTGAAACAAATCACACGCCTCCCTGGTCGCTTGCACCACCCACTGAGTCCGCGAATACCTCACTTCGTTGTATACCTGCAGCGCTCTCTCCAGCAACCCCTTCTTTCCGTCATTCCTTTTTCTTACCTTCTCGTTACCCTTCTCTACATTTTCCTCTCCCTTCTCCTTTCCCCCACCCTCACCATTATGACCCTCCTCATCCCCATCCCCATCACCACCCCCCACCCCTCTCATCATAGCATCCACCGCGGCCAAAACCCCCGCCAACACCAACGCATCCTCGACCCCCATCCCGGCCCCGGCCCCCAGATGCGGTCCCGCCGCATGCGCCGCGTCCCCCGCCACGCACACCCTGCCCCGAGCATAGTAGGGCGCCGGATGCTCCGCCAGGTCAAACAGCCCCCACTTGTCCATCCCGGCGTCCGGCAGCAGGCCCACGATGGCGCGCGCCGTGGCGGTCCAGCGCGAGAAGGCCTGCTCGGCTTCGCGCTTGTGGCCGGGGGTGGTGTGCCGGAGGTGGGGCCAGGGATTTGCAGTGGTGCTCGTGGTGGTGGAGTTGGAGTTGGGGAGTGGGTCGGAGATGACGGCGAGGATGTTGAGGAGCGTGTTGTTGCCGACCGGGTAGGTGATCAGGTGCGCGCCGGGGCCGTTGTACATGAAGCGCGTCGTGGCTTTGGTTTCGCCGAGCGCGGCGATGGCGGCGGGCATGGGGGCGAGCGCTCGGAAGCAGAACTTGTGCGTGTAGGTTAAGTTGTCGGTCGTGGCGGGGATTGGGTCGTCAGGGGATGGGGGCTGGTTTGGTTGCGGTGGGCTCGTCAGGGGAGGGGATAGGAGGAGTTGGCGGACGCGGGAGTGGAGGCCGTCGCAGCCGATGACAACGTCGGTTGTGGCGGTCGTGCCGTCGTTGAAGTGCAGCCGGAGTTTCGATGAGTCGGGGGCCGTGGGCTCGGTGATACTGTCGAGTTGCTTGCCGAAGTGCACGGCGGTAGGGGGGATCAGCTTCGACCACTCCTCGAGGAATGTGCTGCGGAGGCCGCCCTGGAACCCGTCTTTTCCGACGTGCAGCTGGAAGATCAAATCGTTCGTCTCGTACCCGTCTACCCACCGGAAGTAATCCTCGCCGTTGGGGTTAGCCAGACGCTTGAAGGTGGCGAGTATGTCGGGGTTGAGGGCAGCCATGGCACGCTCGGCGTTGGGGCTAAATCCAATGCCCGCGCCAATCTCACGGAAGCCCGTGGAACGCTCGTAGATGGTATACGAGACGTTGCGGGCTTGGAGGCCAAGGGCTAGGTTGACGCCCGTGATACCCCCGCCGATGATGGCGACATGGAGGGGGTCGTCTGAAACCGCTGGAGGCATGTTGTATTTCGGTAATAGCCGGCCGTTGCTATACAAAGAGAGTATCTGACCTTGTAGGCAGCTGCTGATGCGCAATCCCGGACATTCAACAGGGAGAAGAATACGCTGGTGATCTGCCTCAGTGCACGGGAGGGTTGACTCCCTCGCGCAATGCTGACCCCTGAGAACGATTTTTTTTGTTGTTGTCTTATCGACAACGACAAGTTCGTGGTACGGAGAGTGCTTCGGTGCCGAGGTAGGAGTGGGTCGCTCCGTCCTTTCTATTTCGTCTTGGACGTTGGAACGTATGTTGGGCTTGCCGTCGGGTTACGTTGGGGATTGCCGGCCACTTGTCGCGTCTGCATGTCTCACTGGGCGCGATAGCTGCGGCAACACCTACCTAGTAAAGCTTTTTCCTGGCCCCTTCGTCAAGCTCTTCGACGGAAATGCTTATTCTTACAGGCGAATCGAACCACAGTCCAAATCATTTAATTCAAAGCAGCACTTGTATTACTACGCATTTGGCAACATAATTCCCGCGGAAGCTCGAATATCACTTCCTCCCTCTCACTCGTCAAATCAATTAGAAGGCTTGGAACAAATTCGACAGATTCAACCCGGGCATCGACATAATGTCGACGAACGACACTCAGCCGCCTTCCAAAGGCAAGGTCCTGTTAACAGGTAAGGCGGGTATCGTGATGTGCAATGCTTTTAACATGTCACTGACTAGTACGTTTGCTGAGGTGGGACTGGTTTCATTGCTTCGCATGTTCTGGATTGTCTGCTGGACCATGGGTAAGCAAGAGATCATGGATGGGTGCGAAGGAAACAATCACATCCAGAACTGACCACACCCTCCTAGTTTCGACGTTGTCGTAACGGTGAGATCCTGGGAAAAGGCGACACGCATGGTCAACGCTATCGATGAGGCATTGAGACGGCAGCTGTCGGTTACCGTAATCGACGATATGGCAAAAGAGGGCGCATTCGATAAGGTAGCGTGCCGGCATCCCAGAAGAGGGTTCGGCTGACTGACATAAACTAGGTGGTCGTGTCTAGTCCTCCGATCGACTACGTTGTTCACACGGCCTCGCCGTATCGAATGCGTTGGGAAGATCCCAAAAAAGAATGCCTTGATCCAGCCATCAACGGGATAAGCGGCCTCCTCAACTCATTATACCGCTATGCACCTGGTGTCAAACGCGTCGTTTTCACTTCCTCGTCGGCTGCCATGCTCGACCCACCCAACCACCCCAAAGTGTACGACGAGTCCTGTTGGTGTAAAGTTACCTCGCAGGAGGCCATGGACCCAGCAAACACTTATAGGGCCAGCAAGGTAAGGCCCTCTCCGCCCAGAGCAAACATCCTACAAAAACCCTTGACCCCGAAGCTCGCTAACATATCACCGCTTTGATCCATCACAGACATTCGCCGAGCGATACGCCTGGGACTTTTACAAGAGACACCCCGACAAGTTCACCCTCGCCACCATCAACTGCACCTACACCTTCGGCCCGCTCCCGCGCAGCCTGGACAGTCTGGACAACCTAAACACGTCCAACCACCGCATCCGCAACCTCGTGCAGGGCCGCATGCGCGAGGGAATGCCCCCGACGGCGCCCGTCTTTACCTTTGTCGACGTCCGCGACGTGGCGCTGGCCCACGTGCGCGCCATGACGGTCCCCGACGCCGCCGAAAAGCGCTTCTATGTGGTGGGGGGCTTCTTCTCAAACTACTTGATCGCGAGCATTGTTCGGTGCCGGTTTCCGCAGCTGGAGACGCTGCTGCCGCCGGCGGAGAATGTAAAGGATGATTTCCCCGAGGAGCACTGGGCCTTTGATAACTCGCGGTCGAAGGAGGTGTTGGGGCTGGAGTATACTGGGCTGGAGAAGACTGTGGTGGATACGGTCGAGTCCATTTTGGCGTTTAACGGCGCGGGAGGGAAGAGTACAGGCCGGTCTTAGGGACCGGTCTAAGTTGGTTGGTTTATGATCACGATGCAGGCTTGCGCTCTGCTTTCCCTCTCCTGGCTCGTGGTGTTGGTTGGTTTGTCGAGCTGGGCGCCGGGGTGTCCATGCGGAGAAGCCGAGAGATGTCCGTCCAACGAAGGGTTGTTCAAGATTGTAACTCGCGAATTGTGCCCCTGAATCGACGGGCACAGGAAAACAGGCAGATCGGGTTTGGGTCTTGGAGCCGGCCCTCCGAAGGATTCACATGGTCCAAACTTAGACTGACACTCGGGCCTCCCGACTTTTAATCCTTTTCCGAATCCAGCGGTTCCTAAATCGGTAGTTTAGCAGACGACTCGCGACTGTCCCCTTTTGACACTCGGCAGCCTGAAAGATCCCCCCTTGGCACCACCCTGTGGGTTCACCGAGGTGTATTTGTCGTTAGTCACCAATCCAGACAAAGGCCCTTACTCATCCATCGTCCGACCTCGACCACCCATCGCTGTCCGTGATTCGGCCTGGACGAACAAAACAAATGATGCGCTCGACTGACTGGTCGATAGTCAACTCGACTGAAATTCAAGACTGTCAGGAGAAAGGGGAAAGGGGGCTCCACCCCCGCAAAGTCAAACTGCTGGCGTCAAGAACCGTTCTGGAGCTGCCTGAATCCTGCTCCCGGATCGATCCTGGAGATCCGAGCGGATCGGCGGATCAGTAGCCTGCTTTTTATTGCCTGGAGTTGGCCAAACCTGCTGTGCCGTTGTTTGATGTTTCGTTTTCATCTTGGCAGTGGGTGGGACGAATTCGTTATTCTACATACGGTCGTGCAAAACCTCAAAATTCAGACCGTGCCGCAGGGCGGCCCATCGGCGCGACCTGCTGTCGGTGGGCCGTGATCCCGGGTTGCGGGTAAAGGGGAAGGGAAGCTCGGTAGCCATCCTCCTACCATCGTGCATAAACTGTGGTTAGAAATGAGGTGCATGCGGATCGGATGCGGTGTGCGTGTGTGTGGGTGCTTGGGTGCTTGGGTGCTTGCACGCTGGAAGCGATGTCGCGGTGGTGGAGTGGAGTGCCCGGGTGGTCCTGGGAGGGTGGTAATTCGCGGCACAGCCGATGCAAACCTGCATGTTGAGGACTCTTGTTGTTCAGATACTCGAGCCTGGGATGTTTGCTTTCGACATCTTGCAGATGGATCGCGTTGGGAATCCGCCCTAAATCTTAGTGCCTACCCAAAAAAAGAAAGCTTGGTATGTCCTTCGTACATGAAGAATTAAGGGATTTTTGATGCTTTTTACCATAATTCTTCCCAAAAAAAAAAGGAACTGTCGGTGGCGTTTTCTTCGGCCAAATTCCAGGACAGAACCCCCTCGTCATGGATACGACGCTGGTTGCGATGTTGTTCAAGCCAGGGCCTGGGCGAAGGAAAACACCCCGGGATGTCCCATCGGCCCCTGAAAGATCCAGGATTGGGGAACGGTCAGCAGGCACTCGCAAGCTTGGGGGGCAGAGCACAGCGTCGCAGTCATCCTGAAACAAGCTTAGCTGCGTGGAGTGGCTTTTTCATTCCTGCCTGGAAAAGCACCTGCGGGGGCGTTCGAGGGACGCGGGGGACCAACGGGAACCTGGAGGTCCTGGTGTGCGTGGAAGGAGCGCAGAGAGACGGTGAGTAAATTTTTGAATGGGCATGGTATGGCATGGCATGGCATGGCAGCAGGAGCGTTGAGGGGGTGGCAGGTGGGAAGCTTGTTATTGAATTAAGCCTGCCTGGCCCCGCAATTGCTTGCCGGCTCTTCCCCTTCTCTCTGATCTGAACATTTTTGATGGTGATCTGACTTCGTCTTTTTCGTTTCGGTTTGTTTTTGTTCCGAATCTCAGATCGCCCAACGGTCAACCCAAGACGGACGGAATCCCCGCGCTTACACCTGGGGGACCTGGAATCAACCCCCGGCCGTCCCACGGAACCCCCGGCCGAACTCCTCGGAACCGCTGCACGGCACGGGCCCCACCCTGCGCCGCTTGCTGCATTTGGGCGCTCGAAACGGCACAATCACTAACATTGCGGCCAGGGCACACGCATTCTCAGGCATTGTCCTGCAGCTCTGCAAGCGACGAGAGACGATCCGAGCGACCATCACAGTGCAGCATGCGAGAGACCCAAAACCAACCTCACAACGCCATGTCATGACCCCGAGGTGACGGACAGCTCATCGGAAGGGATATTACGACGTTGCAATCATGAGCGACATCCTGGACGATGGCTTGCGGGAGCAGTTGGCCGCCGCCATGCTCGGCTGGGGTGGTGGGGGAGACGGAACGCAGCGCATGTCCAGGGACACGATCGCTTCAGCTGATGACGGCAGCGGTCGGGCAACCCCAAAACCAGCGCCGGCCCCCAACCATCGACAGGGCCAGATCCGGGGGGTGGTAGTGGGTTTGACAGATGAGGAAGACAAAACCAACGACGATATCGACGCCGATTCCGTGGTTGACTCGAGCGACGAATTAAACGGTTGGTCCGACGGCAACACGCATCCGCACACCCACCACACCCAACAAGCGAGACGCCCGGCTGAACAGCCAACAAACCTGGTTGGCCAGAAGGCATTGCCGCCGCTCCCCGTCGAGCAAACTGTCGCTTCAGCACAGCCTGAAATGTCGTGCCGGATTTCACGATTTCCCTTCTCACACCCATGCGAGATGCCCGAGTTGATGCCAGACCACGAGGATACATTTGGAATGGGGCCCAGCCCGTCCGTCTCCGGCCCGGTGACCCCAAGCGTCGCTCCTGACGTCTTCCGTCCGCTAACACAGCTCCTGTCTCCCGACCTCGAGCTTGGACGCCACCTTAACCCCGCTTCCGAGCCCGAAGCGCAAGACAGGATGCGCAAAATGTCCATCAAGTCCATCGAGACGGCCGGATCAGATGGACTGGGTATTATCCAAGAAGAGGACGCGAACACGGACGGCGTGTCGCTCCTGACGCCCACGGAGGTGTCATATGGCAACAGCACCGCTGACGGCGGTGACAGGCCGCTGTTCCTCACAGTGGACGGCGGCGGTCACTGTCGGAGCGTTAGTTCTTTGGGAAGCGGCAGTTCGGGCGAGTGGCGGCCCAGCCACGCGAATTCCGCTGTACGAAAGTCCATCAACCTTTTTTCACGGATGCGCAACAGTAGTCGTGTCGAGGATCCGGCCCTGGAAAAGCGATCGTTGACTCCCATGCAACTTACTACCCCGCCGCGGGGGCAGAGCTATCCCGATGATGAGGCGTCTACACCAGACGCGACCACGCCCATTTCGCCTTTACCTATGACCCCCCGGACCGAGGCCAGCTCAACCAGCAAGTTCTTCCAGCGCATGCCATGGCTAGGAGACTCGCAGGCAAAGAAGTCCGAAGTGGTCTTCGGTGTGGATCTGAAGGAAAGCATCCGCGTAGCGCCCATGAAGATTAGGATATCTCACAAGGGACGGAGCACGTCGCATCGGACGTTTCCAATCTCGGTACACAAATGTTGTGAATTTATTCGCCGCGCAGGTTTGTCACCCCATCTTTTCACATATCTAACCAAAACAACACAACTAACTGGCGTGTTAGGCGGCACGGACACCAACATCTTTTCTTCTCCCGGAAACCTGTACAATGTCACCAACCTGCAGGCCATATTCAGCACGCCACCAACCTTTGGCGAGCAGTTCTATTTTGAGGGGAGCGACTACACGGTCCACGATGCGGCGCGCCTCATTCTGGTGTACCTCGAGGCATTGCCCAAGCCGCTCATTTCCCCTTCAGTCGTCAAATCCTGGATCCTGCTTGCGCGACAAGAAGGTGCCATCGAGCCGCCGTGCCCGCGCATCGAAACGGGCCTCGACTTCTGGACCGAAGCACTCAACCGATTGCCGACGGCCAACCGCAACTTGACCAAGCACCTCCTCACGCTGTTCGCCGAGGTGCTGCTCGCTGCTACGGGGGCGATTACCGAGGCTGATGCGAGACACTTGGCGGCGGCCGTGTCGCGGGCCATGTTCCATCACGATGCGGACGGTGTCAGCCTGGAGAGCAAGGGGAAAGACCCGAAGAAGAAGCCCACCCGAAGAAACGTGCAGCCGACGCTGGCACTGGCGTTTTTGATCAAGAAGCGTGGCGAGTATGCCGTATCGCTCAGCGAGGCGGCAAAGAGTGACGCGGCGAAGAGGGACTCCAAAATGTTCCTACCAACCACCAAGGAGATGATGGAGTGGAAGGGGATAAGCCAGTAAGCGTGTGGGGACGATGGACGGAGCAAATCGCGTTGAGATACCCCTTTTCTTTGTCGATTCTCTGTGTTCTCTGCGTTCTGCTGTTTCTTGCGGTCTGTTGGCGGTTTTTTCTCTGCTCTGTTGGTGGGTGTAGCTTGGGTGGCATCTCTCTGGCGTTTTTCTTTTCCGTCGTACATGATTGTTTGTTCGTATTACACATTTTGGGAGGTAATGATCTGCGCATACGGGAGGGGAAAAGGGGTAGCTGGCATTGGGGTTATGATTTTGGGGAGCGCCATGTTCTAGTACGTATCGTAATTAAGCTTTGGATATCAATGTGAAGGGATTTTGGGCCCTGACTCTGTCGTTCTGTTTCTTTTACACTGCTATGCGACGTCAGGATTCGACGATGGTCGGTCACATGCACCACCCCTGTGAGGAGAGAGAACAACAGTACAACCAGAGGATAGTGATGAGGTGAAGAGATGAGCTACGATATGAACATCTACTCCTGCTTATACTCTCCCTTCACCACGCGCTCGCATACCGATTTGAGTGTTTCGCCCGCCCACTCAAAATCTTCCAGTTCCAGATAGACCTGGGCGCTGAGCCGAGCCCACCAGCGACCGCCATAGATGTACAGCGCGATAAACGTATTGTGGTCGTCCAGCAACTTCCGCAACATCCAGTGTGTGATGGTTCCGGCGTCACTCTGTGGGAAGGACGGCAGTGATGCCAGCTCGCCCTCCAACGCCTTGCCGTCCTCGGGCTGCACCGCTAGCGGCAGGGCCACGTTCACCATAGAGCATCTCGTCAAGCTCTGGCTAGCATTGTCCATCACCTCAGTGCCCAGAATCTCGGCCACCCGCTTGCCCCCTTCCCTTGCCAGCGCCGTCAGCGCGTCCCGGATCCGCGCCTCCCCGCCCAGCACCTCCTCCCGCCACTTGATACTCTCCTTCACGCAGAGATACGGCGAGTTGTCGAGGGTACCGACGAACTCGAACGCCGTGACGAACTCGGACTTGTTCGACGGCGGCAGCGGGTTGGGCCTCTTCACCCCCGCGCTCGAAACAAACCCGTGCGACGTCGGCACCGTCGACCGGATCATGCCCTGGTTGCGTAGCGGCACGTAGAACACGGCACACCCCCGCGGCACATGCAGCCACTTGTGACAGTTGCTCACAAAGAAATCCGGATCGACCTTGCCCAAATCAATATCCACCATCCCCACCCCCTGCGCGCCATCGATCAACGACAACAACCCCCTCTCCCGACACGCCGCCGTCACCGCCTCAAACGGAAACCGCACCCCGGGCAACGACGACACCACATCAAACACGCACACCCGCGGCCGCTTCCCCTCCTCCACCGCCGCCTCCACCGCGCCCACCAACCGCGCCACCACCTCGGCATCCTCGCACGGGTACCCCAGCGGGATACACCGGCCCGCGACTTTCCCCGCGCGGTCCTCCACCACGTAGTCGACCGTCTTGGCGCACCCGCCGTACAGCGTGTCGAAGTACAGGATCTCGTCGCGCCCGTCGGCGTGCCAGGCGAGGTTGCGCAGCACCGTGTTGACGCCCCAAAGGTTGGCGTTGGAAACGAAGACGACAGGTCGAAGGGGGGGATCGTTGACGTAAGCTGGTCGATGGCGGACGCGGGAGCCCGTCGAGGAGGGATGGGGTAGTCGTACCCGGATGGAAGCGGTCCGGGGCCGGATTCCGCGGAGGGAACTGGTAGTGCCGGAAGGAGGGTTTGGAATGGGGCGGGGGATCGTACCGAATGAGCCTGGGTGGGGGGTGTGAGTTCTAGGCGGTGTGTGCCAGGCGAGAGAAGGAGTTATGACTTACCGTGGTTGAGGTTGCGGTAAGAGGGTTCAAAGAGGAATTGTTCATCTCTTAGGGCGTGGCCAAAGGCGACGGGGCCGCTGAGCTTGCTTTCGGCTTGGCTGGCGTCGCCATCGGCTTGGGCCTTGGCCCGCAAAGGGAGCTCAACTTGTGTGGGGGCCATGGGATCGTGAAGTTGTGAATGCGATAGTGGATTTCAATGTTGAGAGGTATGTTAATGACATGTCTATCCATGAGTCTCACCTTCTTATACAAATATAACGACTACTGACCCAGTCACCCCTTCCTCGAGGCCCCGCCCGTGAGGTAGGGTTGTCCCGATTCCAGCCATTTAGCCATGTGTGCCAAGAGGGTACCGACCGCGAGCCAGATCCGCGATGGACGCCTGTCCCGAAAAGGGCGCGGCTTCGGAACGACAAGGGCGGAAGCATTCACAAGGCCCCGGCCAACCGCGACATGCCGAGTCGAATGCAGAGCTTCGGGATGGCGCCATTAAAATACGAAGCGAAGGCTTCTTAGCCCAGAACCGCGGGCCATGTTACACGGCTGTTGAATCCGACTAAATCTGATTTGGGATGCCGAGAGTCTGTCTGACCAGTGACACTTTAAAGAATCAAAAGTCGCCGTTGGGCGGGCCCTCGTTGACTCACGACGAGCCTTTTTTCAGCACCGAAATCCTCTCCTCCAACCAACCCTTATAAGCCGCAAACATGCCCACCGACTTCCACAACGTGCAGAACCTCACCAACTTCTCATACCTCTCCAGCAACACATCCCCCTCCCCAACCCCATCACCGCTACCCCCCTCCCCCAGATCCTTCACCGCCCGCGCCAGCTTCGTCTCGCACACCAGACACAAATACGGCGGCTGGCGCAAATCCTCCGCCATGCCCGCCGTCCCCTGCATGACGCACGCGTAGTAGGAGCAGTGGTCCAGGCACAGACAGTGGCCCAGCTCGTGGGCGACGGTGCGCACTATCCGCGCCAGCCACATGCCCGTCGGGCTGTGGTTCGGTCCGGGGGTGCCGAGACCGGCCCCGGATGACGCGGGTCATGGGGGTGTTGTGGTTCCTGGGGGGGTTGTGGTGGTGATGGTTGCGGGGCGGTGAGTTTGCGTCGCTTCGGGTTGCTGCTGCTGCTGCTGCTGCTGCTGCTGCTGCTGCTGGTCGTGGAGGCTGAGCCCCCGGGTTCGTGATCCTCCTCACCATCCCTGCACAGGCGCTGCACGTAGGCGTCGCAGTGCGAGAAGGGCCAGGTATGTTCGCGGTCGATCCCGGTCGGCTCGTCCAGCAGCGGGTGGTAGCGGGCCGACGAGACGACGGCGACGCGGCTGTTGCCGTACGCCCGCCCGCAGCAGAAGTCGTCGTCGTCGTCCTCGTACAAGTCGTGGTCGGTCAGCAGGACCAGCGCGTACGCGTCCGAGGGCAGCGCTTCGATGGCCGCGTCCAGCATGTCATTGAGGTTGAGCTGTCGCGGGTAGGTCTCATCCGGGCAGGGCCGCGTGGTGATGCGCGTGACGTTGTCCCCGAGCTGTAGGCCGATATATTGCGGCGGCTGCTTGGGGTTGGGCTTGGATTTGCCCTCGGTCCAGGGGACGAAGCTCGCCATGTTTGGTAGGGTGCGGACGGGGATTGGGTGGTAGAAGGCCTCGAGGTAATTGCGGATGTATTTGGCCTTGGGGGCATCACATCCTTCCTTTAGAGGCGCCTGTAGCACAAACGGGAGGGTCCATCTGTTGAGCGTGCGGGAGAAGGCCGTGCCCGAGGGAATATTTGGCGTTGGGACGACATATACAGTCTTCCGCTCTGGCGTGAAAGGGTTCCTGAGCTTCTCCATGGTCCATGACCGTAAACTCTGAGGTGGTTCTTTTGGGTCGATAGCCAGGCAGTCATCAGGCAACACGAGGGGGCCGGGAAATAGTGATTCTAGAAGGAGATGGTCTGATGTGTTTCCTGATGCCCGGCCCGATGCCGTCGTCGCTGCCTTTCTTTTGGCCAGCGACGGTCGAGCAAACCCAATCTCGGCTGCATGAGGGGAAACATCAAGGTGGAGGGTCTCGTGCTGACAAGACGGCATGGTGATCTGGAGGAGTTTCCAAGATGTGGTTTTGTGTGAGTGAAGAAACACAAAACGGGCGGGAATTGGAGATCAGGATTCTCCAAATTGTCATGTCAATAAACAACAAAACACCCCGTGCTTATCACCAGGCAGCAGCGGCACTTGGCACACCCCTTCGCTGTTCAGGGGTCAGGGGCAGGGTTAGGGTCACAATTAGGAGATCTGCACATTGATCAACATTTGTTCAACAACATGTTGTGATGCAGATAATGATTTAAGGGACCGCAGATTTTGTTTTAGCAAAGTACTTTGGCCAAGTGGCTGGGGTCTACGCAGCCGGACTGGTCCTTAGACTCCCCACTGAACCCATATGTTTGAGCCGAAGTGAATTCAGCCAGAAATGTTGGAAATGTTGAGAGCAAGCTGAGGGGCGGCCTGGGGCTTTATATCACGATTCGAGGCCGCCGAGCCCAACTGAAAGTGGTTTCAAAGAATACTGAAACAATTCCCGGGTTTGGGCCAGCCAGGCCGCCCCGATCCCGACAGAGCAATACTAGGGCCAGGTGTTGGGCCCTGGCCGCGGCCGACCACGCCGCAACCCCAGACACGAAAACTACCCAACCATTCAGCGGTGTAATGTTTGGAACTTGGGATGGCCTTCGTTTAACCATACACGGCATGCTTCATACACAGCCGGGAGCGGCCAAGCGGTGTGGGCTGGGTCCCAGGGGCTACCCCGTAAGGCGACAACTAGCTGACATTCACCATCCACTGTTAACAATCCAACAAGCTCACTCCAAATCTTCTCCCATCAAAGTCCAGCTTTCAACGCAATAGTAATTCCATTATGGCAACCCGTCGGCACCACGCCTGGCCGCGATCCGCCGGCATTGCCGGGGATGGGGCACCTCACTCCTCCAGGGAGAACCATGGTGGGCGGCATCAGGCTCCGCCCCCTAATACCGAGCACGACGACCCTCGTCTTCACTTTGCCACGAGATTCTGGGGCCGCCGCCGCTACTCAGATTCCGTGTCAGAGCTGCCGCAACATGCGCCGACTTCACCAACCCTCCGAGACCTCGACCGCCAGACCAGCAGCAGCAATCACGGCCGTTATGCGCCACGAGACGACCGCGAGATACCTCCGACGCCGACCTCGGCCCGTAGTCTCCAGTTCCCACATCGGCCACCGCCGTCGTCACAACAATACCAACAACAGCAACAGCACCAATACGGACATGAACGCTCCCACCATCACCATTACCGCCACCACAGCGTGGCTTCAACTCCCCACACCACCTCCCTCCGCTACTCCCCGGCGCCCTCACCCACAACAAGAACACCACACGCCTACACCCTCTCTCCTCACAACCCCCTCTCTCCCCACCACCGCCAACCCACCCCCAACCCCTTCTTAAGAAGAACAAACACCCAACCGGTCTCCCCCCTTT